GACAAAAGGTCAAATGCATGAACATTGTTGACTATGCTTCCAGCTTTCAAGTCATGATTCCTTTCTTTGAACAAGAAACCGCGGATGTGTTGAAACAGCTCTACTTGCGGGGTTGGCAGCAGTGGGCAGGCATTCCTGAGGAAGTGATCGTTGACCCGGCACGAACAAACACAGCAGAGTCCGTGTTTCAACAATTGGAACGAGAAGGTACAAGAGTGGTTACCATTGCCGCCGAAGCACACAATCAGCTAGGTAAAGTTGAGAAACATGGCCATCTTTTCGAGGTTATCCTAACCAAAGTCCTCGACCAGGTACAGCCCAAGGATAAGTCCGAATATGAGCAGTGCATTGTCCAAACCATGAACGCAAAAAATGAGCTCATTAGTCAAAAGGGTCTGTCCCCATGTCAGTTGGTCTTTGGTCGGAATCCAAGAATTCCAAGTGACCTCGTTCAAGAACAGCCATGTCCCGTTGCCGGAACTCAAGCCTTGCATGATTCTGCTGCGGCACGATCACAAGCCATTCGAATGCATGCACGAACAGCACTAGTCATGGCTCAGGATGACCAGAGCATGCGTTCAGCCCTGAACGCCCGTCCAAGGGTGGAGCGAGATTTTCTTGCAGGTGATTATGTGGCCTACTGGAGATCACAAAAAAAACGAAAAGGGACAAAGAATTGTTGGGGGAAAATGGTTTGGGGTTGCCGTAGTCATGGGGAAAGTAGGACGCAATTTCGTAGTGCACCATCGCCGGAACATCTTCAAAGTTGCTCCCGAACACCTGAGACATGTCACCTCAGAAGAACGTTTGCTTGCACAAACCGATGGTAGGGAATTGTTGGGCATCCAAACTCTCCTCGATCGATCGTCCCCGAAAGAGCTAGGGTCACAGTATGTCGATCTCACCCAGCAAGAATGTCCGGAACAGCTGAAAGAAGCTGCTCGTGTCAGTCTCCATCCGAGCACAGAAGACTACTGGCTGAGACGGGACGACACCTTGATTCGAGCGCACGTCAAGCCAAGGCAAGACACCTTCTGGCCGGACCCAAAAGATCCAGTGGTGAAGGGCTTCAATTTTGATGACGTGAGATTGACCAAGCGTTTTGACACAGGAGAACAGTTGGTGCATTGTCCCCTGTCCAATCCAGGAGAATGTCGAATCACCTTGACCGGTGCTGCATGGACAGGAGAGTCTCACTTCCGAGTTAGGTCAAAACGACACGCATCAAGTCCGGTAGGTTATGAGTCTTCTCAGAAACAAATTGCCTTAGAGCCAATCCCTCAGACCGTGGGGGAAACGAGTGGAGCCCTAGAACCAGAACCGGTCTCCGAAGAGAATCGTCTAGAGCAGACCATAGCAGTGCAGGGTCCCACGACCAGTCCAGGCTCAGAGAACCAGTACGGACCAGTTCGTGCTTCCCGAATTCGACAACAGAGCAAAGGGCCACCGACCTTTTGGTTGAGACCACCTGAAATGCTTCAGGACGACGTTCGGGACGTGTTGATGGAAACTCATGGAACAAAACGTAGTCACTCTCCAGATAAAGAACAGGATCAACCAAACAAAACAGTTCGGACAGAAGAAGTCGACGAATGTCTGCTAGCGGACCTTGTGAAAGATTCTCCTCAAACGCTGGAGGTGCTAGTGGCAAACTTCTTGAAAAAGAAAATGCAGAAGGAGATCCATCACTCTAAAAATCCACCCGAGCTTCAAGAAAAAGTAGATGCTTCCAAGATTGTTGAGTGGCAAACCTTGAGGGATGAGAAGAAAGCCATTGTTGTGATTCCCCCAAGACAAGCCCAGAGAATCAGAGACACCAAACCACATAGGATCATGACTTCACGGTTTGTTGTTGTGGAAAAAACATGAGGATGGTGAATCCAAGGTCAAATCCCGCTGGTGCTTGAGGGGTCACCATGATCCCGATCTCACTCAGAAGATCCTGGCCGGCAAGTGCCACTCCCCTACCCTGTCTCAGTTTGGCCGTAGCATTGTTTTGCAAATGTTGGTGAGCAACCACTGGGAAATGAGTCTAGGGGATATAAAGGGAGCTTTCCTAGAGGCCGATGTAAAAGCCAAAGCACTTGCAAATCCAGTGTACGCTGAGCTTCCCCCAGGGGGGGTACCAGGCATCGAGGCCGGATCCTTAGTACAGATCATGGGAAACATCTACGGAGCCAATGATGCGCCACAGGAATGGTACTGTGAGTTCGACAAGGTCGCAACATCAGCAGGTTTCAGCCGATCCAAGTTCGATAACTGCCTGTATCTGTGCTACGGTGACAATAATGAGCTCCAAGGCATTCTAGGTGCCCACGTTGATGACACCATCACAGGTGGTAAGGGAGAAATCTATGACCAAGCAATCAAGGTTCTTCGAGAACGATTTCCCTTTAGGAAGTGGCGCACCGGCACAGGGGAGTTTTTGGAAACAGTGTACACTCAAGATCCAAACACCTTCGAGATCCGGTTCCAACAAACAGAATATGCAAATCATATCCAACCAATAAAGATCTCTAAGGATAGGGCAAAGAAGCACTGGCTTGCAGCCACAGATCAAGAGGTAGCAGCTCTTAGAGCAGTGAACGGTGCATTGGGTTGGCTCAGTTCCCAAACCCGGCCTGATCTTGCAGTGCAGACTTCGATAAGTCAGCAAGCTTTTCCCAGACCTACTGTGTCCGATTTGTTGCACGCCAATCAGGCGGTTCGACGGGCCAGGCAACAGTCAGACCTTCAGATCACGGTTCCATACATTCCTCTCAGCGAACTATTTTTGTGTTTTTGGTCCGATGCCGCTTTCGCAAACTCGTCCGAAAAGAAAACACAAGGAGGTTGGTTGGTAGCCTTCACATCCAAGAAAATGAGTCAGGGTCATGATGTTCCTCTCTTCAGTTTTGCTTGGAAATCATATAGGTTACCCCGGGTTGTAGCAAGCACCCTAAGCGGTGAAGCTCAGGCTTTCGCAACTGCTTCTGGGGTGAGCGAGTGGATGTCCCTTATGCTGTCAGAGTGCCTAGATGGACCCATTGAACTGAGTGAGCTAGATGTGGCCTTGACTAAACATAGTCCTATAGGTATGACCGACTGCCGTTCGCTATATGATCACTTGGTGTCGCTAGGAAACGGAGGTTCGATCGACGACAAAAGAACAGCCATCGACGTGGCCATCATTCGCCAGTCAATCAGGAGGACAGGCCTAGAGCCCCGTTGGTGTCCAACCGGACACATGGTCGCCGACGGTCTCACAAAAGACCGAGCCGAACCGATCGACCTTCTTCGATCCGTCCTTAGAAGTGCCAAGTATCAGCTGGCCGACGAACAAGCAGTCCTCGACCGAAAGAAAGCTGAAAAGGAGCGACGTCGAAGAGTCGCATCAGAACGCACAGCAGCAAATGTTTCTGCGCAAGCCAAGCTCTCCGCTCAGAGAACACAGGGTGGAGGTTCAGATTTGTAGTGAATGTGGGTCACTATGTTTTTCCCTGAACTCTTTTTTGCAATCACCTTGAGTGCCATGCTGTGTAATCCTTTAATTCCGTCGATTCGAGTTCGATAGACTGCCTGCTTGAAGAATAACATAAGATAATGTATAGATAGATTTTCTTCTTGATCGTGTATAGTGAAGTGTGAACTGTGCAAACATGTTTTCCTCAAAATCATTGCAATCCTTAAGCTCGAAGTTTTTGTCCTAGGTGGACAAAACAAGTGCAATTTGATTCGGCAATCATCTTGTAGACGCAATGTCCGGCTTGACTCCCGTAAGCCCCGAAGAGCTGAAGGCAGCGGCAGATGTCTTGAACCGCTACCACTCCTCAGGAGTCGCGATCGTGGATGCCTCACCCAGTGGCTATGCCAAGTCTGGCAGTTCGGGTTCAATGCATGATGGCTCCAAACGCCTTCGTTCCTTGGATGAAGATTGGGAAGCTGTAGAAGCTATGGAAGCTGCTACCAGCTACCAGAGCCCCGACGCAGCGCTGGTGAAAGATCGCATGGAGAAGAAGCCGGTTGACCAAATGCCGATTCACCCTGTGAGTGCCGGAAAGAAATGTGTTCTTCCCCCAGGAATTTCCTCGGTCAGTGAATGGGGTCAAACCCTGTGTACACTACCCAAATATGCAGCATCCAAATTGAGTTACCATGAAATGGTACTTGATGAAAGCAAGCATGGGTATTTGACCTGGATCTTGAAGCACGGGAAGGGCAGGGGAGGTCGTTTTGAAGACTTCTCTTCATACCTGGAGGCCATTGACTTTGAAAAGACATCAAGTCATTCCTAAACATTCCCAGGCAGCTCCGTTCGTCGCACTTTGAAGCCTTGAGCTAGTGGAATAGCAGTGAATGCCAGGACACACCTCCTCTCGGCCGGATGCCAGTTTGTGCCTATAGGTTCAACAAACAACCAAACAAAAACTCTAGAAGAAAGATATAAAGAGGAGTGAATTTGCAGTGTCCCCTGTCGAGCATTCGTTCACGCGTCAGATCCTGCAGGCAACTCGGTCCGAGGTCGGAAAAGGTCCGAGCGGCCGCGCGTTTGACCTAGGAAGGTCTATACGTACATCTGTACATGTACGTCTGAATCCAGAACACCACGCCACAGACGGTAAAGCTCACTTGAGAACAGTCTTTTTCGGCCAGGGAGTTCAATGTGTCCCGTGGACGTTCTGTTCTTGGGCCTGGCGAACTTCGATCCGGAACCACATATGAAGAGACTACCAAAGTTGTGTGATATATATATAATATATATATATATATAGAAGAGGGGGAATAGAATAGAAGCAAGCAGACATAATAAGCAGACCAAGCAGGCAGGCAACGCTGGCAAGCAGTGGTAATTGCCTTTACAGGATCTAGTCCGAATTCCCGCGGGCATTACTACCAGTAGCAAGTAGCTACTAGTAGCTTCTTGTTACTACTAGTAACGGCCTCCACCCTAGTAGCGATGGCCTCCACCTAGTAGCGTCCTTACTAGTAGCAATGTCTCCATTCTCGCAAAAGCTGGTGAGGCCAGACGACGATGGATTCTAAGGCCCGTGATCGTCACTTGGCACATCGGTGCATCGAGCTTTGCTATCCTCAAAAGGAAACTGACCGTGTCACCATTGCATCTAGTTGAACATGGGGAGTTGCTGACCTCCAGCCAAAAAAAGTCCCTTCACCTCCCTGGTGAGGTGAAATCAGCTTGTGACGTCGTGATTTCGCCCTAAACCTCACGTTCTGCCGTAAAACCAAGTCTTGGTGCAACCGCTTTTGGCGAACATCTTGGACTGGCAGCAGCCCGGAGCGAAGAAGCACCTCTGCACCGAAGGATGGATGTGCGAATGCGGAGGTGGAGGTACTGGCGACAACCCGGAGGGGCGAGGCATGTGGAGGGGCGAAGTCAGGGGCGAAGCCTCCTTTTTGCCTTGGGATATCGTGCTGACACGGTGTGCTGGGACGAGGGAAGCTGTCGAACGACAGGTGCTAAGATGTTTCGATAGTTTATTCACAGGGACTCTCGCCACCTTACTTTGCTTTCTTAGTGAAATGTGGAACAGTGGGTCAGTTGGGAGTTAGAACTGCACGACCGTCCGAGAGTTTCAGCAACGCAGAAGCGAACCTGGATGGAGTGGCTTGGAATGACATTGGTGTTGCCAAATGGATTGCAGGAGAAATAGGAAACCCATAGTTTGGTTGATTGAACCATGATAAACCTCTACTTTTGGACAATTCATCCACATAATCCATTTCTTTCGAACATTCTTGCATGCATCAGTCTCGACATGTCCACCAACATGGAGAAAACCATGTCTACAATCACCGTGAGCAGATCTGTTGATTCTGTCAGCATGCTGCTTCGATTTCACACTGGAAATACCAGCATCAACATTGTCCCAGACATCACGATACACCCGCAAACTATGTACTATAACGTACAACATATTTGTTGTATGTGATGTAGCTAGGTAAGACTGGACCTTCAACAGACAGCTCCACCCCGATGGGAGCTGAGCCGTTTTCTCGAGGCTGGTGACCTGGGCTTTGGAGCATGAAGATGGCCGGAACCCCTTCTGCACGTGACCTGGACGACATGGCCGGCAGCCTGGGGTTGGACGGACGGACCAAGCCAGCCTTGAAGGTTTCAGACCGATGTCGATCCATGTGGATCCCAGTTGGCCGGTTTGGGGTCTAACGAACCCGGTGGACTGGAGGGGATGGATGAGTGTGGAAGCATGACTAGCATGCCCTCAGCCTGGGCGTCCCAACAGGCGGACAGAAGGGAAAAATCCCAGCCGGGCCGACTCGGGCCAATCAAAATCAGTTTGGATCTTTGTGAGATCGCTTACCCCAAGGGTGCGAGAATGAAATGAAATCGGGGGAGTTGGATGAGCTTGAACCCCAATGGTTGAGATGGTACCTTCTGAATTTCAGATCGACTTACCGAATCGGCTGACTCGTGATACGTAGTTCATGACCAACCTTTGCAAGTTGAGGTGAATTGGTGAATGACCGGGAATCAGGTTCGCTTGTTGAATTTCGCCGAACCACCACCAGCCGTTGTCACTTTGCTTCCCAGGAACATCGAGACCATGGACCCTCAAGAGAGGATGGATCTCCGGAAAGAGATCCGAGAGCTCTTTGAGCATCTCTGGCAGATTCTTAGGGATCGAGTATCCTTTTTTGCGGCAGACTCCAAAAAATAGAGGAGCAAAACGAGTTGTCAGGTTTTTGGGATGTGTCCTTCAACGAGGAGGGCATAGCAAACCCATGTGGTTCGTTTGTCAGGTTGTCCCAGAAACGTGACTGGCACTGTCAGGTTTACGTACCTTAGTTTATTCATCTCCTTGTTTTGGTTCACCAATATGGCCCTCCAACAATCATGGAAGCTGACCAGGACACCCTCGTAGAGGACGTGTACTGCATCTCTCTCTATCGTTGTCATTCAAAGACTTTGCAACTGTGATAACATGTGATAACCACCATCAGTACCACCATTATACACACGTGCATACCACACATGGAGGAGGTCGAAACTATCCTCGACTCTCCTTTTCATGTCGAGGTTCCCAAGGTCACAATACTGATGGCAGCAAGAAATGAGAAGGAACAAAGAGAGCGATGCTCTTTGTTTCAGGCACTAGGGTTTCAAAAGTTCACTTGACCTCCAAGAGTCACTTTGAAGAAACTTGTACACAGGCTTATTGTTTGAACCCTAATGATGTAAATATAACTATACCCTTTGTTTTTCTGGCCACTTTTCTTGTGGTTCATGCCTGCAAAGGCACTTTGGAGATCTCTTGGTCAGTGGACACGCCGAGCACACCTCTCTTCAGCTTGAGACTTGGCGAGAGGATCGGTGTTTTCGTCGAGAGGGTCTTCGAACTGCTTCAGACGGGTCCAGAAAGCCAGAAAGGGGGGGCCAGAAGGGTTTTAGGTGTTAGACAGTCAGCCAGATGTTTCTTCCTACGTATTCTTTCTTGTGACTCCTGGAATTACGCGAGGAAGATGTATCGCACTGTACCTGACTGGAAATCTGAAGCCAAACATTTGTTTCTTCAGCAAGGCCTGAGGACTGGTTTTCTCAGACATGTTTTTAACTTCACAGGAAGAGCAGGTGGCCAAAGTTTTAGTTTCTTCACATGGCCACGCTGTCCTCACTCTGAGGATCCTGGCTCGTCACAGGTGAACACAACCTTGAGCTTTCTCATCAAAAAGGCGACTCTGTCGGGGTAGGACTGCTTTCCTTCAACTTCCAGAGTCCTCTCTCCTACCCCAATGACCTCCAGGCCGGCTTCGTTTTTGGGAATCCTCCACAGAATAGGAGCCTTTCAGATCAGACTCCATTATATGTTCATGAATGTAGGGCTTTGTATACTGAAAACTGGAAGCCACATACTTTGCATTGTCCAGTACTTTGCTTGGCACATGCACTTACACAGATGTTCTTAAGCTGTAGTGTATGGCACTTGAGTCCTCCTGGATGCTTTGTTTCAGCAGGTCGGGTTTCGGACGCAGGTCGGACCACTTCATAGGACCAGATCACCCGATGATCAGACGCACAACATACGATGCACGGCCGACGAAGACGGCACCACACCGCACCGCAGGCCATTGCCGCGACCTTTGTTGCAGACTGCAATATCAAGTCTGCGAGCCAAGTGAGTCACAACAGACGCTGGTCTGACAAGAGGGCGGGCTTGAAGACATGACTTGACATAGACACTGTGGGAAATGCAGTGAAGGTATGTAGAGGTCATGTAGTCTGTAGACGCTATAGGCTTCATCGGCTTGGTAGGAAGGCATCATGAAATAAACTCAATGTTAACATTTGAATTCGACCCACACCAAATACGAACACTCGAAAACAGAAAGCGCACCGAAAAAGGATCTTGGGGCATGTCCACGACCCTCACACCCACCACAATGTGTGGTTCGACTGTGCACCAAACCGCCAGACGTCGCGCCCAGAACAGCTCAGCTGGGACACCTCCATCAATTGGCCACCCGTTGTCCTACAGAGCTTTGAACTTCTGAAGAAAGCCACCGCCACCAGTCGACGCCTGGCTGTGATTCGACACCTTGGGCGAGGGGCGGCAACTTTGGGTTGAGCCCATGTTTCAGTCTATGTAGTTGGAACATATCTCGTGTGACTTGCACGAGGCGAGATCTTTTTCCTACAGTCGTTGGTGGATGTTTTCCAGGACTGGACTCTTCGAAACACTTGTCTCGGTGCCTTCATTGATTGCCTTGGTTTCTCTTTGTTTCAGATGGAACAGTTGTTTCTCCTTGTCTCCAGTCATGAGATCCCAGTGGGAGTCCCGGTGGGATAGCGGGATATCATGGGACATCCGCATCAGGGGCGGATTTCTTTCATGCTGGAGCAGACGTCATGTCTTCAGATATCTCACTAACTGACAGATCTTTCTCCGTTGCTTGCTACACTGTTGTTTTGGAAGCTATGTGACGTCCATTGGTTTCTCCTCCTCATCAAGTGTTTGCCGCTTTCTACGCCATCGCAGGAGTATGTGAAAGCCACTGCCGTAGACTTGTCCTCGCCAGAGATTGCCCCCGAAATCGAAGGGCTCCTTGGTGGAGTCACACTCTGCTCGCTCACAGTCTGCAGTTGTGTCAAATCTACAGACCAGCCTTTAATTGCTGTGTTGATCTGTTTTGTTGAGGCCAAAGGACCATGAACTGGGGTTGTTTGCTCTCATATAGAAGTCTTCCAACACCCGCTGGAGATGCTTTCGTATTGCTTCATTGCACTTCCAAACGTCGGCTGCCCACCGAGAGCACCTGTGACCAAAGAGCTCGGAACATAGCCCGTGGAGCAGAGAGGCTTTTGGACAGGTGAGCTGTTTAGAGATTTGAAGAGCTTCCGATGAGAAAGTTTGCGCTCGAAAAGGCGTCCGGACATCATTCCGACAGTCCGAGACTGCAATAGTTGCGTCGAATGTATTGTTCACGTCGCAGTGACTACACACTAATCTGAGGGAAGTGCAGATATTACTATTACAGTATATATCTAGTCACCTTAGGATTTCATCTAGGAAATGGGTAGGGTGAACCCTGTTAGAAGGCCTTTTTTTATGGAGAATCATTCTGATATATCTGGATGAGCATGCATTTTATAGCAATGGATTGCGTCGATGACATCTTTGGCAGAGATCGGAGGCAAAACAACTCATTTGAAACATTTTCTAGAGCCAAATTTGAAGGATGAAACGCATTTGGACGAGACGACCTTGGGCATATCATTTTCTAAGGGCAGTGAAAAGTCATGGATGCATTTAATGGCACTATTGCCGGCATCTAGTTCCCGGAACTGAACGTTTCTGAGCTAAACTGTTTGTTTCCTTTGTTTGATTTTTGTCTTGAACTTTTGGTGGACGCATGAGCACAGCATGACCGGCATGACTTGTTTCATATTTTTCAATATTTGTTAAAAAGATTTGTCAGTTTTTTTTCCGCAAAACACATGAAAGATGTTTATTTTTTTGGATTGGTGCTTCAGAACCTCAGGTTCAGCATCGACAAAGACGATTGAACGGCTCTCTAGAAAATGCAAATCCAACCTTTGACAATTTTCTTCAAATTGCTGCAAGGGTCGTGTAGAATAATTTTCTAGAAGCCAGCTGCTGACACTCCTACTCCCGAAAAATACTTTTTGGTATCCACATGAATTTTATGGAGCATGTTCTTCCGGAATCCGCTTTCATTTTCTAGCCTTTTCTAGAGAGACATTTTTATCGTTATAAAGTGGCCTGCACAACCCCTCCTTGAAATCCCAAAGGGATATAATATATATATATATATATGTATAGTCCATTATAGCGCAAAATACCTTCCAGGGATCTTTTGAAGTAAGGCTTTGTTCCTGTTGATCACTTTTGATTCCATTTCACCTGGCATGAGGCTTTGGAAGCTGTTGGAGGACGGCAGCCGCCAAAGAAAAACGAGTCCGCGGCGGGTCTACGCGGAGGCACAACGGAGCTTTGAGACCTCCAAACCACCCGATGCCAGGTGGCAGGGCTGAAAGAGCGACTGGCGTGTGAGGTCCATGGCTTCGGTATGACGAGACTATGGTTCGGTATGTGGTGCCAAGGCTCCACCAGCAACCAGGACCTTTTCTATATATTATATCATATCATGTATATCTTTTATGTATAAGAATGAGTCATTTAGAGCCACTGTTGGAAGTGTCGCATGGTTTTGCACCCCGTGACTTCATAAACAAACTTGATAAACGTTGAACGGGATCTTGGTGACACATATTGGACCGATTCTTTTCAACTCACAGCCATCCCACTCTTGATTGTACGGCTTCAACCCATGTCGACAGCTGATTATCCTTCAACTGATTGTACAGCACCTCTGGTTGGCCACCATAGCGCCTTCTGAGTACAAGGCGCAAGGGCGTGGGATTATGTGGTTACACCTCGGACAAGCATGGAAAAACCACCCAGTTATTCTCCGATCGTCGCTCCGACCGTTGCTAGCCAGACGACAACCAGCAGACCCTCCAAACCTGGATGCCCAGGCCCAAGAGCTGTCTTTGCAACCACATCGCCCAAAGCGTCTCCTTAGCCTTTGCTCAACGATTGTTCGAGCTGGGCTTCGATGCAAACCGTCCCTTGGATGTCGGTTGCAGGTATACGTGTGGAACTTGAATGTACTTGCTAGGTAGGAGCATGTTTTGCTTTTGTGTTTGCCGATATTGCACCAAATAGTTGCCAAATGTGGACTTTGGTTCCAACAAATTTGCTTGAATCAACTTGAAATCCATACGTACAAATTGGTCTCTCATTTCGAGATGGTGAAGTTCGTCTCGCTTTCCTTATGCTCAAGTCGGTCCAGGTGAGGTCTCCAAGAGAGCATTTGCTTTGCGAGCACAGTGAACGTTTATGGGTCATTGCCATTGCCCAGGTTTGTTCTTTCTTCATGATTTAGAACAATATATATGAACAAATACCGTAAGACCCCAAGCTGGCTTGTGTTATACCAAACAAGTGTCACATAGAAGTGAAGTTCAACATGAGTTTCTTTTCGAAAGAAGCATATCCCAACATTCCATGTCGGATGCAACATGCACATGCAGGTTGAGTGCAGTGAAAACCTCCCAATCCGGGATAGGTTCCTCTTGTGCCAAACGAGTCACCAAAGTGTCACAAATCCAGGTGCCGTGGACGATTGGGCTGCTTGGTTCGATTTGTGGCCGATGGTTCCGCTGAGATGATGAAGGGTGTGAAGTTGTGAAGGTTGGTGTCTGGTGCTTCCCAGTGCAACTCTCACCTCCCCTTTGAGTGGACTTTTAGCAGATACGAGTTGGTGAGACTCTCAGGGTGTGTTTATCTTGGGGATGTTTCTTTCCTCTACCATCTCATCTTACAACATGCCGAGCATCTACGCGACTACTTTGCTCCATCGGGAACTTGAGAGACTCTGAGCAGCCAGCGGGAGCAAACTTCGACTCAGGTGTGGCAAGCCACTGACTTGGAAAAGATGCTGGATCTCTTTACGATCACTGAGGATGGGAGCGGTCCTTGGTGTTTCTGCCCCGCCCATCCTGCGAGCACTAAACTGGGTTGTGGGTCCACACTTTTCTCGGCCGCCCTACGTCGCTTGGTCTGTTAGGAGAACACTTCAAATAAAACCAGTGATGGGATGTGCAGCGATTGGCTCGCTGGCGCAGGAGGGTTTAGAAGATCCAAACCTCAGCTTCCTGAACCTGCTCTTCGAGGACTCCAAGTGAGTCAGGGCGAAAGAAGCAAAGTCCTGTTGAGGGATGTCAAGCCAGCAAAACGTGTGAGGGAATTTCATTGACCAGGGTGTCAATGCTACATCGATATATGACTACTTCTTCATTTAGAGTAGGCATGAAGTTGGTGGTGGTGGATCCCACCTCAAGGAGGTGGGGGGAGTGTCAAACCAGAGTACGAATAGAGGTGCAGGACCATGCCACACAAATCCCCAAAGCCCTGAGCCTGTGTATCGGTCACAAATGGGGACAGCACATCCTTCGCTGGCGGAGTGCAGGGACGAATGCTGGACAGTGAACAGCATAATGGTTTCCTTCTTGGCAGAAAGACCAGCTGCGGTGCTAGTGAGGCAGTAAGCACCTATATTCCAAAACTGAAACTTAGAAAAAGATACCTTTTTTTAAATGTTTTTCCAAACGATAGTATTGATGAGCCTTTTTTCCCAAAACAAGGAAACCACATTCTAACTTTCAGCTGTGATGCAGCTGAAAGTATAGATGTAGATAGTGCAAGGCCTTCCTCCTTCCAAATTGAGGATATATGCAACAAACCTCCCAAAAGTACGACTTCTCCAAGGTATTACGCATTTCCATGATATTTTTCCAACATTTTTCATGTCCAAAGTGAGGAATGTATGTAATGGACAACAATAAGGCTCCCAAAACTGCTTCTTCTACTAGTCGGGGCATTCTACCTTTCAGTTTATAAGCATGTTTGTGGCCACCTCTTCAGCGAACCTTCAAGGAGATTTCCCACGGGCGTCCCAACCTGTGGTCCGGCCAGGCCAACCGCCTACCACGCCTGCCGGTGCAACAGAGCGCGGGAGTGTCAGAGGAGTCAGCAGCCAAGTCCATCGTGAAAGGCGACCGCCAAAACGGAGAAGACCTCAAGGGCTGGAATGCAGAACAGGCGGAGAACATCCGCAAGTGTATATAATCCACATCATCAATAGTATAAATATATATATATATCACTGTCACCACTATCCAGATAATATAGTAAGGACGTAGACAGACCAGCTGTCGTACCACTCACTTCACAAGTTCACTTCCAGTGTATTCACCTGTTGGGTTAGGGGTCTGTTGATCTTCGACGGACACCCCACAGTGGAAAGGCAATTCTGAATGAGGGGAATATGCTTTTGCGTGAAAACGAAAGACTCGTGTACCACTTGCAGGCCAGGATCTTTTTCTCTAGTAAATGGCGAAGGCGGTCAACTCCTGACCCCATGTCTATCTCCAACATGACGAAATCCTGTAGCTCATGGTAGTTAGACCATGTTAGACCTGACACTCACAAAGGACGCATGACCAACGGTCTTTCGCTTGGACGACCATTGGACTCTTCCCACCTCGCGCCAGCTGTGCTCGTTGGGCTTCCGATGCGTGGGGTCCCAGCTGCTTGGGGCAGACACGGAAGCTGCACTTCTGGAACCTTCGGTTAAAAACAACTGAAAACAGTTAAATGAAAACATATATATATATACACAATTATAATGAGCGAATTCTGCCACAGTTTGCTTTGAGCCTGAAAAGCAGTGCAACATCGTTTGCGGCTTGGAGACCATTCTTAGGCCCTGGGCTGGCACCATTCCCATGCATTCCCAAATATCAATAGGTTCCGGGTCTTTACATGCATTCCTGATGTCATGTTGATCATTCAATGTTTGCACTATTCGGGGGCGGCTCACAATGTGCCTCTCCGACGTATCGAAGGACTAGCTTTGAGCACTGAGGTTGCAAAACTATCTAGCACATCTGGCCTGGCACTGAGTGACAGAGATTGACAGGAGTGCTGAGGAACATAAAGCAGTTCGTTTGCAGTATTATGATCATTACGTGCATAGACCTTTGGTCATGATATCGGACTTTCATCCAATATCGGACCATTGCATATGTTTCTTTCACAACTTAGGACATTAAGAATGGTGGTCACCAGTCCATCAAAGTGAACTATGCAAAGAAAGTCAAATGGTTCCTGTTCCTCAACATCGCATGGGCAGTTTGGCACGCAACTTGGATGGAACTCAGTCAGAGAAGCTTCCTACAGCGGGTGTAAGCGAAAACCCACCGGGGAATTTCAGTGGTGAAGGTTCTTTGACGTTTCCCAAGTCAAACGGTGGTAACTATGGCCTGTTTTCGCAGTTGTGTTGTGCTTCAGTGACTACTGTTTTTGAGAGCCTTCAAAACGGAAATTCTCAAAGGACATCCAGCAACTATGGAAACATCTATTTTTATTTTTAATAGGTTATTATGCAGAGCAGATGATAGAGCAGATGATAGGCCTGATAGGCTATGGAGTTAGCCTTAGGTGCATGAGATCTCGCAGCGAGGTAACGAAACGGTCGCAATCAAAAGTACTTTCGACCGGCCATGACTCGACATCAACCTGTTCCATCTTCCCGTGCCCTCCGTATTTACGAAGCGCCGGTCGGAGGAAATTAGAATGAATTAGACATTGCAACCCATTGGGCATTGGGGGGTCCCTCTCTCTCCTTTTAGAGACATACGCATCTTAGTGATGAATGCCTCCAACTCCGACGCGCAGATGTTTTGTGGGTGGTGGACTCATGGAATACACTGACCTCAGGTTTGCCCCGTAACACAGGTTCCGCCCTGAAGCACAAGGGTGGCAAAGCTCTGACTTTATCAAAGATCGTTGTGTTTCTCAACTAATCCAATTGTAATGTATTCTTAGTGTCCATACTTTCCATGAACAATGCTCAACCGGCCTTGACATGTGCGTTTTCGCACACAGAGTGACACAGTGGCCACACGGTGTGAGGAGAACATGCAAGTTGGTGAGGGTGAGTTGCAGAGAGTCTCCTTGCAGCACCGCCAGCAGCAACCTGGATGACATGCAAAGCAAGGGTATGTTGGCCGTGCTTTTGATTTTGCCCAAGCAGCTCACATTGGTCCATACCTTGGTCAATGGCTCGGCGGCACATGAGTTTCATTGATGATAGACCTGATTTACGCCCTACCTGAGAGAACAAATCAGAAAAACCCAAATGATGCAATCTGCACGTTGTCAACACTGGGTGGTGATCCGGTGAGCGGAGGAACGTGGCCATGGGCCTCTTGGTCTCGGCCTTCGCGGTAGTCTCCGAGTTCAGCCATGGTCCCAGAGCGGTGCAAGAGCCGGAGACCGGAGGTCATGGTTACAAATCTACAAAAACCGCATAAAGCAGCAAAACTTTAAGGCAAAAACGTGGCTGCTTACAGGCTCCAAATGGCGCAATGTTTTAAACGAGGTAGAACTACTTAGTTAAACTTAAGAATACTTAGATTTAGACAAACATGTTCCTCTACAACGAGTGGTTTGCAATTTTCAAATTCAGCTATCACCTCCATGCAGAAACATTGGATGTGGGAAAGTTTGAGACCTCCATCGGTTTTGAGAATCCTGAACTCTATTATGTCGACCCAGTGAGATGAGATGGGGTTCAGAAACGGACAATGTTGTACTGTGTTCTTCTGCAACCATTGACTGAATGAGTGCTGCAATGCATTGCAGTGCTGTATTCTCAATCCTGCATCCCAAGGAAACCAAGGGTGATGCTCCGGATGTGTGTCGTCAGCTCGAGGTTGGGATGGAAAGCTTTTCAAGGAGGAAAACTCTGAAGCTTTCAATGACTTCAACGTAGGCCTCTACACTGTGTGGCCTCTTGGAGCAAATGATCATGAGTGGATCAGGAAGCATTGCCTAGGGGCCTAGGTAAATGCACATTTCATGAGCTGATCAGGAAAGATAGCCTAGGTATATAAAGACACATTTAAGTTTATCAATTTATCAACATGCTTGTACTCCAGTCAGCAGACAGGGGAGCCTGTTTTTCGCCGCAACTGGGGACTTGACCAGGAACAAAGGAGGTGTTGTAGATGAGGTCTTCAGTAATACTGTCTGTATATATGACTGTTTCAACGATCCAGGAGTACATAGATCCCTTTGGACTGGAGAACCGACGCTGCCGAGCTGGGCTCAGGAACTACCGCTGGGTCGCTGCCCTCTTCGAGCCACGAAGGTTACAATACCACTTTTGGCACGGGCTTGGGCTGCCAGTGCTGCAGGTGGGGACCCTGGCCACCAGACGTGCCCAGGAGTTGTACAGGTGGACATGTTTTGAAGATAAGATAAGATGGTCAAAGACATCCGAAGTTCATGCGTTTCATCTTCCTTTGATTGCAGCACTGTTCGGAATTACACAAACAATCAAAACGGAGACATTGATTGTCCAGACTAAATACGTTACTCAAAGCAACACAAACAATCTACTAATTAGCTCTTAATTGGTCATGTGAATCTTCAGGCAACTATTCAAGAAACCAAGACTTCCAAGTGCTTGATTCCTTGATTGGTTTCTGATGCAAATAGATGCAACTTCCAAACTATATGCACTACTGTTGCAATGTTCAGACGAACATGCAATTCTACGGTGTCGGCCCACCATCGCGCCGGTCAGGCACTCGGAAACGAGAAGAGCTCGGCCTATTGGGTGAACTACCGCCGTGATGGACTCATGACAGCCATGATGAACCTGGCCCCACTGCCGCAGGACGCTCCGTGGCTACGCGCCCAACGGCGCTGGCGCAGATGGGGAACATACCTAGACCTAGAAAAGATCATAGGGGGCAGGGCAATTAGCATGATGAAGATGAAGGATCATAAAACACCAAGGCGTTGGGGGTCCGCCATTTTGGGTGTGGATCAAGATTTGAGGAAGACTGCGGGGACGACAGATCGAGATATTGTCCCATTGCCAACCAGGGGCGGAGGTTCTGTTTATTGTCCAAAAGTCATAGTCATTGGTGTCAAATTGACACCCCAAACCAGAGAGTACATTGTTTGTTTGGGGGCCTCCTACCCAGTGTGGCACGGAGGCTTGTGCATGTGCTGTTCCAATCCAGAGCATGCTACCGGTTGATATGATGGGACTTGCTAAATCAAATGGAGAATGGACTAAAAAGGAAACACCCTTTCAGGTAAGGCTCCAAGACAAAGAACAAACATGGAATGTCCATACTTTTGTATCATTGAGGGCTTTGGAGTTTCTTGGATTTGTAGGGATTTCTTGGATGGTTTGGTGGCTACACAAGGGGCATAACTTTGAACGAAGGATATCCATCCAACCGTCACCAGTCGCCGACCGGCCACCCGAGGATGAGAGCCAATGACGCAAGGACAATGATTAGCCAATAAAGTAGACTGTTGATAAAGGCTTACCATTCGACTGTTTTCGGTTATTTCGTTGCTTTCTGTAAATTCATCAACAGTCTAAGTTATTGGCAAGCAATGTTGCGTCACATCAATACAGCATGGCACATTGTCAGCACCATTGAGAAGCAGGGAATGTGGTTTGAACCCCACACCCAAGATGCCTTCAAAAAGTCCGCAGGGTAAGATGCCCAAGGCAATATGAATAGATGTCCCACTTGGTCACAATCCAATCATCCTTTCACATGGAGAATTATTTCTGATCGGACCACATTCAGTCCAGGTGCCACTGCAGGTTTTGAACACGTTTGAACCACGTGGGCAGATGGCGAAACAGCGTCCTAGGTGCAATAGAGTCTTGTTGCGAGAAAGAGAGCGAGCGGCCAAGAGCCTCTGCAGTCAAACGGGCTGTTGAATAGAACGGCTCAGGTGAAGTGACTTGAGCACATGCGGTCAACTCGCACCACACTGATCACCAGTGAATGTCCGTTTCCAAGTACCTACAGTTCCGCACCCCAAGAGGAATTGGATTCTTTGTTGAAAACGCATTGGAATTCCTCTCGCCCATCTGCCGTGAACCCAGACGCCAGGCATCTCCCACCCCAACGCCATCGCCACGGCCGGGGATCCAAACCTGCAGGGCAGCGAGTCCTGCAGGGTGGGCGGAAAGTGAGAAGTGAGTAGTTCTTGTTTCTCATAGCTTCTTGTTACTACTTGCTTCTTGTTACTACTAGTAAGGCACCTGTTACTACTAGCGTGGCACTTGTTTCAGCTCACTCAGTTCAGCCACCTCGGTTTTTCATGTTTTTTCTTAGCTCATACTTTGCCCTCTTAGTCTTCAGGTCAAAATGGCTGTGGGTCAAAACCCGGAGCCTGCCCACAGCCAAATGAGGATCTTTGGTCAAAGCGAGAAAACGGCTCTGAGGATTGAAGCTGCTACATGTGGGGGTGGCGATGTGCGATGGCCCAGTCATGTATATATATATATATATACATGTGAGGGTGAATGGTTTAACATTGTTTTCTCTTTGTTTAAGACTTTGCTTTGTTGTGGTGTTTTTTCTCATGCGTCTTACTGCATCTTAGTATCCAAAATAGTATCCAAATTCCATTCTGCCTCAGTGGCTTGCTGGGTCACCGTGTTCGATTAGCCAGGCTGGTGCTGGCAGAGGAGTCGACGCAGGCGATGACCGGGCTCAATCGGGTGTAGGGCAACGAATTCTTTATCCTGCACATCACACACATGCAACCAAAAGCATTGTTTGTTGGCTTGGGAGAGGCTTCTTGGATTGGAATGGACCGAGTCAGATGTTCGGTCGAAGTGTTTTTCAAGGTCCTTGAGCAACATACTGGTACCAGACGTTACACACTGGGGGCAGGGCCAACCCCAAATGTGCATTCATTCTCCAGCAGTAGTGCATCACGGCCTTCGATACCTGCTTGTAGGACCTCAAAAGTCCACATCCTGAACAGGAGAATCTACCACCAGTATGTGCGAATTGCACGGTATGGAGGTTTGACTCTCTCCGTTCATGAAGTCCCTCCAATCTGGCCGTGGTGCCCCATTCCTGGCAGGGCCTGACACCGTGGGAGGCTCAGATGATGGATGGCATCAAGTGCACAAATGTTTGCCACCAAAAATGAAGGTGGTGGGCAGCTGTAAGGAGCTTTTAACAGTCTCAAGCATCTGTCTCTTCCTTTTGCAATGCATGATTGAGCTCCGCAACCCAAACAAAGAGCACTACCAAATAGAGTCCCTTATCTAGAAATAGCACAATAAAAGTGTACACAAATAACATACGTAAAATAACTAACTGATGACTTATAATGGATGAATGTCATGTCTGGGACTGTCCTAGTCAGCCGCTGTTTATTTCCCTTGCCTTGGAGTTGCAATTGATACAAGCATGACAATGCCATTTGGGTTGTCCTCACTGCCTGCGTTTGCCATGTGACTCGAACGACGAGGGCTGTCTTACTCTAAGGCCTCACCTGCCAGCATCCAGCCACGCGGGCGATGTTTTGGTCGTCGCACGTTGTGAGATTTGCTTGACACCCGAGAAGGAAAGGAAAAGTCGATTCGGCACTAAGGCGTTGCAAAGATAGGGACTCACAATCATTGTCTTTGTTAGTTTCTAAAGTGGGTGGGATCCTGAAATTATGGAGTTGCATTGATTATCATGGTTTAGCAGCAAAGTTTAGCATGATGCCCTAAGGATTGGAACAGTCGATCATGTTGGCAAAGGGTGATTGTCACCCTCCCCCTGACCAGAAACACCCACCCAGAAACCTTGTTTTGTCGGATTGTTCACGTGGGGTCGGTCCCCAATGGATTCTGTTGCTAGTATATAAGTCATTCCCGGAAAGGTATGTGCTTTCCAAGAAAAGCTGTAAAAAGCAGAAACTGAAAGGGGCATTGCTGATCAACGCCTTGAAGAACCGGATCTTGGCATCAGTGTTTGAAGTACCTCTAATTCATGAGTCTCCACCAAGCATGAGGATGGCTGATGTCAAAAGAGAGAAAGCTGAGCAATGTCAATCATTCTTGGATCTACCAACTCAACATCATTGTATTGGAAGCCGCAAAAGGAATCAAAGGAGTTGGAGCGAAAGCTTCCGGATAAAAGCTGCATTTAACCCGCCGCCCACCTGAGAAAGAACACCTGTTATTCCGTTCGAGGTGTCTTGTGCTGCCTTAGTCCACAGCTCCACTCACAACATGTTACAGCATCGCACAACAAGATTCTGCCCCGCCTGGACTTAGAAGAAAGTGATGTTTGGGCAAAACGCTTAGAAACAATGTTCGCTACTAGGAACAAGTGCATCGCTACTAGTAACAAGTGCCTTACTAGTAGAAACAAGAACGCTATTAGAAACAAGTGCCTTACTAGTAGTAACAAGAAGCTAGTAGAAACAAAAACGCTTCTTGTCGCTTTGCCTTTTCGGCCTTTTGGGGTCACCGGGTTCCCCAAGCCACAAGGCCATGCCTCCAAAGATTGGACACTCCTAAAGTATGCTTGGCCCAAATGAGCCAGTTCAAAAGGAACAGCTTCCATGGGCCAAACATGTTTGGTTTCTGGACTTTATCTTTGGGCTCCTACAGAAAGCATATCAATGAGAGGCGTGTTTGCAATGTGAGTGACTTGTGAACGCAGGTATATTAACAGGCCTTGGATGCTGGCGTAAATAACAGCATCGCTTAGCAATCGTCACTGCTGGCATTTACGCTGTTCTTGGCCTCTGCTAGTGACAGAAGTGCAGAAATTGTTATCTATGTTGCCTTATGTTGCCTTATGCAATTGAAAACACCTTTACCAAAAAGAAAATATTGTCAGCCTTGCCTGGCCTGATGTTAAGATAGTCAAATAGTCAAAGCTTTAAAACAATAAACAAACGTAACATCATTTTTGATCCTATCACCTACTGAAGCCTGTGCATTTGAGTGCGGCTCTTTCATGTTAAGTAGAAAATACCAATGAAGCCTGTGGGGCCATTTGTTTTTTTAAAAACATAATGATTAACTTAACAACTTTTGGGTGCTGTTAAGTAAATCGCCTTGTACAGGGGGGGGTCCTCAGCCCCTACCCTGCACAAGGTCGGTAGCGCTTGGGACCTTGTACACGGGGGGCTGGGGATCCCCCCTGTACAAGCCGATTTACTCAACAGCACCCCAATTGTTTTAAAAAAGATGGCCCCACGGGCTTCATTGTTTTTTCTACTTAACATGAAAGAGCCGCACTCAAATGCACAGGCTTCAGTAGGTGATAGGATCAAAAATGATGTTACATTTGTTTATGGTTTTAAAGCTTTGACTATTTGACTATTTTAACATCAGGCCAGCTGCCTCAGAGAAAGTATAAAGACACGTACTCGGAAGGTGCTTTTCCTTACTCGTTTCCATTCCGTTCCGGTGTGATTTTTGCTGACCGACATTGCCCACTGCACGCCGGACTCCATATCAGGTTAACACGCCGGTCCCGCTCACGTTCATTGTTCTAGACTGGGGTCGGAGGTTCTGATGACGCATAATACAATGATCTAAAATAGTGTTCACAACAAATGTGATGATCTTTCACTACCCAAAAGGAGTACAGGCCAATTATATACATAAAGCCTGCATGGCCTGAATTAAGCAGGCCTCCAGCAAACGAAGAAACCTAGTAGATCAAAGCTTGACAGTTTCACCCGCAGGCTGACGCTGGAATCCGGTGGACGGGTTGTGTGCAGCTTGGGGTATATTTGGAGCACAAAGCACTCGGACAGCAGCATGATACACAGTGTTTGGGAATCATTCGCATGGTTGGAGACCACATGCCGCAAAACCAGAGCTGCCAGCCAGGCTTTTCCTGTGCTACCTCTCATCACTTTTTTTAGCGCTACGGTCCGGTGCCAACAAACCAGGCCACATGGGACCTTGGAGGGCCATGGTTTGCACTTCAGTGCCACCGAAACGCACTTTGGTTTACCTTTGATTGTGCTGCGATAGCCAATGTCTCTATTAACTACTTTGCGATTGCAACCGTGCTTGTGGAATATTCTTTTATTCAGAGGGCGGGGCTCGAAATGTCTTTATGTTTTTTGCAAACGACCTTAAGCTGTTAGGAATCGGCTGGAGTCGGCTAAACTAGGGTTTGAGCTGCATGACGCAGCTGCTCACCAGGCAAAGAGGAACTCCCATTCTGGCCCAACGACACTGTCACAGTGGGCGTTGGGGAGCCTGGCCTGCGTGCAATTGCACTTTCACAAAACTGGAGATTTTGCAGGTCATCCTGGTAGTTTCAAGTCCTGGAACATATATTCAACACATTTCAATACGTGTTTTGGGAGTTCACATATAGTTCATACGGATCTTGCATTCGTACTTTACATATTGTTCCACTTGTGTCCGAACTGTGCGACTCGAGTTGTCTCGCCCAGACACCTCAACCGCTGCAGCTGCCGAAGCGAACGCTCCAGTTAAACATTTTGGATGGTTATGACACATTGCGCTTTGCCACCAGGTGAGGGTGGACATGTGGGACAGGATCGAGCTTTGCGGCAAAACTTGTCCATAAGAACCAATGCTTTTCAATCAACAGCAAGAGCGCATTGAAACACATGCAATTCAAGAGGTTTTCCAGCAACTATTCAGCACTTATGGACCCAGAGCTATATAGAGTCCCGCGCGGAGGGGTGACAGACAAGATGCTCGTGGAATTTGGCTAGATGATGTAGATTTGGCCGATTGCCGTGTGGTCCCGGGTTGCTTCATTGTTGGTATGCAGCGGGGTTTCCTTCAAACAGAGATAGAGAAAGCCAACAGTTCCACCAATCGCAGTTGTGTGTTTTCCTATGTTTTCCTCAACACCCAGCAAGATACTCCATGAGCATCCATGAGCCCGTCTCAGTGGTCATGGACATAGTTCCATTGGTTTGATTTCCTTGCAAGCATGTGTTTCATCATAAACCTGACTGTAGTTTTGATATATGAGTTGATTCGATCCAAAAATTTTGGTGTCACCACAGTGACACGAAAACAAACCTCAACTGGATTTGCCAGGCTCCTGTTGGCGACAGTGGGTCATCACAGTCGAAAGCTGCTTGGCAGAAAGCGGAGTGGGTTTGCCAGTGGTTTGCTAAGTTCTTGCGGCACTCGCCTTCCTGCAAAAGGTTGATCGGACCAACTCCTAGTATACACTGAACATTCATCGTTCGGTATAAAAAGAGACAGTAAATAAGAAAGAGATGATGCCCCCCCCAATCTGACAATGGCATTTGTTGCTGTTGTCCAGTTGTCCGCTCCCTGCTCCTCACCACACCGTTTCACTTTATTTGGGAACAACAAGCTTCGCACCTACCTGCAGAGGAAGATCACTCTTCTAACCTTTGGTTGCTAAGGGCAAGCTTCAAAAGTTTTTTGTTATTGCCGTGGAGCGCTTTCCATCTGTTCTTTGCGGGATGGTATTTGGGTGGTATCGCAGTTATTTATTGAGCTCTGGCAGCATGGTACTGTATGTTTTTCCCGGCCAGCTTTTATGGACTTTCCCCAGAATTATGTAGATGTCCCTGGCCTGGTACTTTTAATCGGGAGTCTTTCGAGTGGCGGAGAGGATGTAAAATGGTGTAAGGATACATTGTAATTATCCAAGAGCAAAATGCTGAAGCTATATCAGTCTACAGCTCATGGTGAGGCTGGTATCCTGGGAAGCGCCCTCGATGCAAGAGCTCAGCGTTTGCGCGCATGTGCGGATGCCCAGTGAGTGTGGCCCGCGGTTCATCACCATGTCGTCTTTGAATGTGTTTTGGAATCGCTCAACCGAACAGCTACACATCCACCTTGGAATCTCACTGGACTTTGGCTGACCGGAAACCCGTGCCCCAAAGCTCAGTGCGATGCCCCGACCGCCAGGTGGGTCTTGCTTGCGTGCTGCGACGGAAGGATCTCAGCGAGCGAGCGCTGAAGTTCGGCATCGTCGCCATCTTTCAGGTCGAGTCGCGCGAGTCGAGGTATCCAAGTCGCGATGTGTTGGAATCTGAAGAGTTTTGTGTGAGAAAGACAAGGACTAGGCAGATATGAGAGAGGTTTCTTTGAAATTCTTTAAGTAGCAGTATTTAATGGTTTGTGGGTTGAGCATACCTGGATCTTCAAACCGGCTAAATCTGTGCCAAAGGCATGCTTCAGTCAAAAGGCCCTGTAAATCGAACAATTAATTCTGTTTAAAGAGTTGCAAACACTCCATGGACACGCTAGTAGTAACAGGTGCCTTACTAGTGGTCACAAGAAGCTATTAGAAACAAGTGCCTTACTACTAGTAACAATAAGAATTTAATTCTGTTTAACACGTGCTCACGATCCATGGACACGCCGTTTGAATGCCTAAAGACTAAAGACGCTGTTTGGATGCGCAGAAAGCCCGTTCTTTCTTGGTCTCACCTCCCCACCAGAAAATGTGTCCAACAAAAACATGTCGTTCTTGGGAAACGATGTCGACATTTTGTTTGCTAAAGGCAGTTAAGTTGTTTCTTTGTGCCGATTCAGATGTCTTAGAAACCGCTAAACCCTCCTAACAGTAGTGGAGTATGAAGGACTGCTGTGCCCGGCTGGGAGAATCGACGATACACATCGATACACCATCCAAGCGGTATCCGGAAGCCCACAAGCAGTGTAGGGTAAATAGACAGTTCATTGAACCGGTGAACCCTTGGGATATCTTGGGATGTTTATAAAAAGAACTATATAGGAACCGAAAGGAGCACAGAAAGTTCTTCAACAGTTTCTGAAACCAAAAATGAAAGGGATAGAAACATACGAAAGAAACAGACACGCAAGAGCACAACACCTGTTAAATGCATCCTTTTGGGGTCTCAAGACTTCATCACATTCCTCAGATTGGAGCGGCCCTGCTCACTTTGGAGGATGGAGGCGGAGGGACATGTGCCAATCTGTGGTGATCCACTGGACTTGTAGTTCTTTCTGTTTTCAAATGATTGGACTGGTCAGTCCGAGATTGTCTCCTAAAGCATTTCTGTTGAGACCATCTGGACTTGTTGGTAGTGAAGCTTTGGAATCCTCCGAGCCGCGGGGGTATGCGAGGCATCTCCAGCGGATGGCCTGTACGGTTGATTGAGGTCGGGAGGACATGGCTGAAGGGTCTCTCCCGAGATCCTGTGTCCAGAGATGCTGGTGAATGAAGGAATACATGGGAAAACAGGACTGACATTTGGGAAAACGTGACTCAACTGTCTCAAGATGTCTCAACTCATGAACCTTGATTGATGCTCTTTGCTTTGGAATTCCCTAGTTGGAGGTTGCTATGTTGTAGTGCAGGTGGTACAGTAGATGATTGTAGTGTAGTATTAGTCTTGAATCATCTTGATGTAAACATGTAAAACTGTATAATATATTTATTTGAATGATTGGTTGCTCACACATAGTCAGAGTTTTTTTGGACCTTTGTGGACTCATCTCAGCTTTGATACCTGTGGTGTAGAGTGGATATGGATTAAACATGATTAACACGCTTGATCATTTGTAAAAATGAGTGAAGTAGAGACATTTACAAACATTCTTTGCGATTCCGAGCTTTGGTCTATGCTCCGAAGAGCTCTTTGTCCGATCGATCTACCCTTGCCCTCGGCCTCTTCCCGAGGCATTGCTTCAGCGTACTGAGTCGGAGCCACATTTGCTGATCCCTCATTGCAAGCTCATTGTGGAGGTGGGGATGGATTTGAGAGAAATTGAGGAATGATTGGACGAGAAAAAACTCGTGTCTCTCGGTGCGTATAGATCAAAACAGGTCAAATATCGAAAGTCTTTGCCGGTTGTGGCAGAGGATCGACTTCTCTGAAAAAAGAGATCCTCCAAAGATATGCACGCCCATTGGTGCCCCTGATTTTGAGACACTGAATGTAAAACATGTTCGCCATACTCACAGTGCTCCGTGATCTAGAATCTAGAATTCAATCAAAAAGCAGATGGTGTCTCATGAGATTTCAGAGAAAGCTGGCTGGTTTTGCCTTAAGCACCTTTTGAGTGTAGCTTGAAACTCAACACCTTTCAAACATAAGATTAGCAATATACATCTCTCAGTAGACTCAGTAGACCATACTATCGGTACCACGGCACGCGGAGCACACGGAGCACGCGGAGGCAGTGAGGAATTTCATCCAGGCGGGCAAGAGGGAAGGCAGTCGAAGGGTGCAAAAGATTTTGGGAGGCTATAGTGTTGGACATTGCAGGACCCTCTTGGATGGTGTTTCCGGCATTGGTGGACTCTGTTTGGAATGATAAATAGATGTGAATTGTGTACATTGTATGGAAGAAAGTGAGAACAAGATCCAGGTAGGTAGACTAATCAAAGGTTTGGGTTCACATCCCGTTTTGCCTTTTTTCAGGTATGCCCAACGTGTTGGCTTTTGCTGAACCTTCAAGACTTGCGCGGTCACCTAAAATAAGTTTCTGGGGCGGAAGGAAATTGCACGGACACAAATCCGAGCGGACGTCCAAGGTCCCACAAGGTTGATGCTGTGCACCCGCCCCAGCACAGCCCGGTGTTTCATGGGAACGTGTGGAACGGGAGGCGTGTGGCGTGTTGGAGATGCCAGAGCTCTGGCGCGCCATTTTCCAACTCCTGCCTGGGCAGCCTAGAGCTGGATGACTCATCAGTCATGGGTTCTGGTTCGGGACAAGGAAGTAGATGTGCCTCCTTCCCATCCAGCGTGGAAGACGTTCAAACAGAACCTCCACTCATTTAGTTTTTTCTGTTCTAAATGGTATGCATAAATCCCTATCACGAATGTGTATTTCACAGACATGTTGCTTCATCCTCCAGGTCGAAGAACAGACAGAAAACGCGTTTGGGAAGACGCTACTCGGGGCTCCTGGCATCGCTACTAGGAACAAGGACGCTACTAGGAACAAGTGCATCGCTACTACTAACAAGTGCCTTGCTAGTAGTAACAA